TCTGCTAAATGAGTTGAATTTCCTTGCTAATTCATAACATGTTTATGGTTGAATTTTTTTACTGCAAAATGTATACTGGTGGTGCTTGTGTTCTGACTTGAGATGTGTTTCTAGTTGAGCAAACTGTTGTTTAGTTTGAGCAGCTGACTGCTATTGCCATAATGGAGGGTGGATTTTTTTTTTTTTTTTGGTTGAATATGGCTTTGTTGTTCTGAGTAGAGAAGCTGCAGCATGACTGGTGCTATTATGCATAGGTTCTGTTTGTGATGAATATGGTGCTGCAACATGTGCTGACTTGTGTATGGTTGTGGTTGTTCTGAGTTTGAGAAGCTGCTAATTCATGACATTATGAATATGTTCTGTTTTGGATGAATATGGAGCTGTAACATGTGCTGAATTTTTTTTACTTTGTGTATCGTTGTGGTTGTTCTGAGTTTGAGAAGCTGCTAACTGATTACATTATGAATGTGTTCTGTTTGGATGAATATGGAGCTGCAACATGTGCTGAATTTTTTGGTAATAGTAGTTGTTGTTCTGAGGTTAAGAAGCTGCAGCATGATTGATGCTACTCTGCATAGGTTCTGTTTGTGGAAAAATATGGTGCTTTAACATGACCTGATTCTATGTATGACTGTGGTTTTTTTCTGAATTTGAGTTGCTACTGATGAGTATGGTGCTATGAGCTAAACATGAGCTGAATTTTTGCGTTTGAGGAACTTGTTGAATGAAGTTGCTGGTTGTTTGGATGAAATGAATGTTGCTGAACTGAAGTTGCTGGCTGGCTGTCTTGGTTTGCTGAAGTTTTTTTTCAAGTGCTAGGTGTTCTGGATAAATACTGCAGAATAAATGTTGCTGAGCTACAGTTGCTAGTGTTCTGGTTTGCTGAATGTTGCTGAGCTGTAGTTGCTGGTTGTTTTGGTTTGCTGGTTAAATAAATTTGGGTGTTCTGGATAAATACGTACTGCAGAATAAATGTTGCTGAGCTGCAGTTGCTAGTATTCTGGTTTGTTGAATGTTGCTGAGCTGTAGTTGCTGGTTGTTTTGGTTTGCGGGTTAAATCAATTTTAATTTGGGTTGTTAGTCATTGTGACTGACAAAGTGTTCTATGGTAGTTGAGTCTACAAGGGAATATTAGAATATGGTTTGTTTGTGCATTTGAGGTTTCAGTGGAGGTCCTGTTTACAAGGGAATGTTAGAATATGGTACTGCGTTTGAGGAATCAGTGGAGGTCCAGTTTACAAGGGAATGTTAAGATATGGGTTTAGTTTTTAATGTTTTAATACCTGAGGGATAAAACTGTAATTTTAGGTAGATTAACCAGTTGACTTGTTGACTGGGGTCAGTTTGTATTTTACCAAACTGTGTAACAGAATTAAATACTAACAAAAAACTACACGAAGATATTTTAGAATTTTCTCTCATTTTCTCTCTGTTTCTTGCATTTTCTTAGCACTTTTCTTACTTGCTTTATTGTTTATTTCAAGCTCTCATTGTCCGTGTTCTTGATTTTAGCTATTATCTGGTGTCCAATTGAAGACAAGTGGTATGGCTGTGGACCTATTCAAAGCTTTGCGCATTTTTCTTTGTTGCTGGAATTTTTGTTGGTTACACACTCAAGCAACGTGTTAGGCGTTGGGCTTCAAAAATTTTGAAGAGGTTAAAAGATGATTGATGCCAGTCAGACAATTGCATCAGTGCTACCTTTAACATTTCTGACATGTACTTGAAGAATTTCCCAGCAGGTAGCTTGCTTCATTGATACATATGATCACATCTCATGCCAATTTAAGTCTTATCAATGACAGATACATCACTTTGATACAACTATCATTGGGCATATCATTACTTTGTTGATAGAATTGCTATTATATGCTTTATAGTGAAGAACAAGGCCAAATTTTGTTTCTATATAAAAGTTTGTGCAATTAAAGCAGTTTAAGGGAAATTGCATTTCTACTTTTACACATCTTACTGCATTTTATTGTATGATATCATTTTGAAGTGCAGAATCATTTAAAAAAATAAAAAGAGAAAAGAAAAGGTTAACCATCATTAATACATCTTAAAATAACCAACAGATTTACCACTTGTAAATCTCTTAAAAGGGTTCTTTTTTAATTTATTTTCAACGTTTTAAGAGTAATGATTTTGATTTGTTGCATTGTATTGTATTAGTAAATGAAAAAATTCAAAGCAACACCTGGGGCAAACTTTATGTGATCTCATGGTTTGTTAAGTTTTATTCTTTGATTAGGAAAATGAAATCAATCAACAAGGTTATAAGATTTTAGTTTGTTACAAGCAAGGTGTAGATTAAAGAATGATAAAATGTAGATTAAAGATTTCAGTTTTAAGAGTAATAATTTTGATTTGTTGCATTGTATTGTTTTAGTAAATGAAAAAATTGTATAAAGTGACTTTTTTACCTGGTACGTTTTCTCTTATGTTGATGTTTACAGATTCCAAACATGGCTCTTGGTATAAGAAGGACCCTAGCTAGACGGGCAAATGTTATTCCACAAAATCATAGTCCTGTACCGACACCTGAAATTGCTGCAATCACTGGTAAAGTTATGATATTGGTCCATATAAGCATATTGAAATATACTTGGATTTTAGATATCGAGTACAATGGTTGTTTAAAATTTAAGAATACATTTTACTTTACCAACATGTAAACCACCCTTGTGATAACATAGTATTTACTGCTGATGCATTATTTTGATTTTGTAGAGAATATTGTGGCAAAGAACGTGAGAGGGAAGAGTAGAGGAGTTGGATGTGAAAGACTCCTAGAAACAGCGCAGTTAAAGTTGCATGTAGACTTTCAGAAAGAAGATGGAGTACCTACTGGAGTAAATGCATCAAAGTTGAGTACTGAGATAGGAATAGATGCGAGGAACTATGCCCCCGTAAGAGTGCTCACTTGGAAGAAAGTTCCCTACAATGTCAAAAAACAAATGATTGCTTGTATCACGGTAATGTAGTTTAATATCATTATCCATATTGTCATACTTCCTTATGAAAATAATATATAGATGGTTTACATGGGGTGGGCATTTTTTTGTTAGTTATGCATATATAGATAGGTAGAGAAAGGAAAATGTGGGTGCATGCTGTTCTTTTGGGTTATGCACATGTGATAGTGCATTTTGGATTTTTATGCAAAAATCCATGTATGGACTATATATATATGTATGAAAATATGATATTTGATTTAGTGATCAGATTTTTATATTGTGTCCATTATTTTGTTCATGTTGAATGTATAATGTAGGTCAATATGAAATGCTCTAAAAAAAAATACATTCTACAGCTAATTTTTTAGTAGCAAAAAGTCATTTAGCATAATTGCATTCCACTGAAGGTCAGTATGAAATGCTCTAAAAAAACACATTCTGCAACTAATGTTTTAGTAGCAAAAAGTAATTTAGTATAATTGCTTCCATATTTAGCGTCTTTCAGCGTCTAAAAAATAGTCGTACAAAACTTTTTGGATTTTACATTCAGCATCTAAAATGATTACAATTAACCACTAAATTTTAGTCACTAAACGATACATTCGTCCACTAATAAAATAGTCGTGAAAACTTATTGGATTCCACATTTAGTGTCTAAAATAACTATAATTAACTAATAAATTTTGGTCACTAAAAGATACATTCAGCCACTAATAAAATAGTCGCGAAAACCTATTGGATTCTACATTCAGCGTCTAAAATGATTATAATTAACTACTAAATTTTGGTCACCAAAAGATACATTCGGCCACTAATAAAATAGTCGCGAAAACCTATTAGATTTCACATTCAGCATCTAAAATTATTATAATTAACTACTAAATTTTGGTCACCAAAAGATACATTCGGCCACTAATAAAATAGTAACGAAAACCGTTTAGATTCTACATTCAGCATCTAAAAGTATTACAATTAACCACTAAATTTTTGTCACCAAAAGATACATTCGTTGACTAATAAAATAGTTACAAAAATCTTTTACAAAATTACCTTTACACCTTTGGTGTCTAATTTTTGTGGGATTCACGACAAATTATTAAACACTAAAACGTACATTTTTCAACTAATTGATTAGTCGTTATATAATTTTACTAAATTACCTTTGAACTTTTAGCGTCTAAGTTGGGGGACTAATTTGACCAGCATTTAGCGACTATTTTGCTAGTCGCAAAAAAAAAAACTTTTCGCGTCTAAACCAAAATTTAGACATGCTATGAATCTGCGACCAGCCTACTGCAACTAAAGGGCGATTACCAAATTTAGACGCTAAAAATGACTTAGCGTCTAAATGTGACTTTCTGCGTCTAATTTTGCTAGACGCTGAATGCCAGTTTTCTTGTAGTGTGTAGTGTGCAAAAGTAAGGGTCGATCTCACAGAGATTTGTAAGCAATTTACTAATCCTAATAACCTTACCTTAAATAAAACTAATACCCTAAATTGATTTAAAAGAATTATCATAATTCAAATGAAAAACAACTAATTAAAACTAAAGGTTTTTATTAACCTCTTACTCTTTAATTTTATTTTATATTAGTCTCGGTTCCTGGTTTCGATTCCGGTTCCTAACTATAGGAACTAGAACTGGAACCGGAACTGCACAGTAACGGTTCCAAAAATTTGGAACCGAAACCTACCTGTTGACTGCTGGTTCTGGGTAGGAGAACCGAACCCCGGATACCTACTGGTTCTGGTTCCAATCGGTTCTTTTGAACACCCCTAGCTATTACCACTTGGCTTGAAATTGTAGTTGTTACCTCTTGGCTTTAAATTATAACTATTATCTGTTGGCTTAGATCCATAGCCATTACCTTCTGACTTTGAACCGTAACTCTTATCTTCAGGCTTTGACTTCTCAATCGTATGGTTTAGAGCCATAACCATTTTCTTCTGGCTTAGAATTATAACTCTTATACTCAGACTTCTTTTCAACGTATGGTTTAAAGCCATAACCATTACCCTCTGGCTTGGAAATATAACTATTAATTACCATTAGGCTTTGACTTTTCGACATATGGTTTGGCACCATAACCATTACCCTTAGTCTTTGACTTTTCAACATATGGTTTGACACCATAACCATCACCTTTTGGCTTGGAACCATAATCACTACCCTCAAGCATTGACTTTTTAATGTATAACTTGGAGCCATAGCCATTATCTTTTGGCTTAGAACCATAATCCTTTTCCTTAGGCTTTGTATTCTCAACGTATAGTTTGGAGCCATAACCATTATCACGTGACTTGGAACCATAGCCATTGCCCTCAAGCTTTGACTTTTCACCGTATGGCTTGGAGCCATAACCATTGCCTTCTAGCTTGGAATTGTAACCCTTTTCCTCGGGCTTTGACTTCTCAACATATGGTTTGGGGCTATAACCATTAGCTTCTGGCTTGGAATCGTAACCCTTTACTAGAGGCTTTGACTTCTTAACATATGGTTTGGAGCCATAATTATTGCCCTTTGGCTTAGATCCATAATCATTATCCTGAGGCTTTAACTTCTCCACATATGGTTTAGAGTCATAACCATTGCTTTCTGGCTTGGAATTGTAACCCTGAGACTTTGGTTTGTCACCCTCCGGGTTGGTGCTATAACCATAATCACCTGCAGAAGCAAGGATAAGCAACGAGAAGAGAAGCAAAGAGCTTGTGAAGAAGATACGACTAAGAGCCATCGAAATATTGTATGAAAAAAGAAATGATGTATTGGTTAATTGCTCAAGGAAGTGGCCTTTTATAGATCACAGGATGGTCCATTTCTCTTATAAATTATCAACTGAATTAAATATACAAGTAAAACAATACACTGCTGCACGATTTGAGAAGAAACTCTCATCTCTTTGCCAATCAATTAAACGAACGTGATTGCCTGAAAAAGCAAGAGGTTTAATTTAGTCGCCGCCCATGAATAAATATGTAGTTGCCATGGTGTCGTGAAACATTGACTTCAAAACGTGTTGAAAATTTGTATAATACCATAGGATGTCGATAATTTAGGAACCAATTATTATAGTTGGTCAAAAGTCACAGATATATACAATTTCTCATCATATATATTATCGTCAGTAATAATAACTTGGCCACTAATTGGTTTATGAAATGAAATGTAAAAAATGACGTATGGTTTCTTATGTAAAAAAACTTATTTAGCTTAGAATATCATTAATTTATTAATGTTTTGTAGTCTTGATTGTCAGTTTGTTACATTCAAATTTTCATGCGCATTCTCACACAGATTCAAATGAACAGACGTTACTAGGCATATTTAGGGAAGACAAAGATATCGATGCATGAATCCCCCAGCTAGGGTGACATTCGTGGGATTAGAGAAATCCCAGTTAAAAAACAGAAAAAAATGTGAGTTCCTTTAGAGGTAAGACGTGAATTACTAAGTGTGATCTACTATTAATTATTGATCAAAATTCATAAATGTTGTACACTAGATCTAGAGGTTTTTTTTTTTTTTTTTCTTTTTTAAAGCATGAAAATTGATTTCAAGTTCGATCCTGGCTCAGGATAAATGCTAGCGGCATGCTTAATGTAGATGCAAAAAATCTACCATCATGAAAATATGGTATGATCCCGTAAGGTTGAGGCCACTGACAATCAGCAAGACCTGCACATATGAAAGGGCAAACGTGAAGCTTCTGGAAAATACCGAGGTGGTGTTTGTCATAGGCACTCTGACGCTCAAGTCAGCAAGACTGAAAGAGATTATTTGATAAGAATTAAGGAGATGAAGAATTACCAGGAGTCTTGTCGGAAGCTAGGACTATGGCGGAGGCATCGGGTTCTTGGGAGCAAGGGCTTAAGGAGCAAATAGATAGTTTTAAGTAGCGTAGATTAACTATGGGAGATTGCCTCCTAATGATAGGGCAAGCCTTTGTTTTTATAGTGAACCTAAGGGGTTAGAATCTTAGTAGGACATTGAGTCCTCTTTTTTGGGAGATAATCCCTATCAAGAAAGAAATATGATTTTTTGACCTTATCAAATCAAGTTTAATAGTTTGAGTAAGATTTGAAATCTTAGTAGAAGAGAAAATATAATGAGATTCTGATTTCCTATTTATAGACTGTTGCAGGCTAATGGGCTGAAACCCAGTTTAGCTTAACTTATAGGATAGCCCAACTCATAGAGTGGGTAGTTCGTAAGGTGATTTTAAGCGTAGGTCCAATCGGGATTGGGTTGAGACCTTGGGCTGTGACATGTTTATTTCGTTATTGGGCCTCGTCAAGCCTAAGACGATTTTTGACCCTAACACTTAACACATGCAAGTCAGATGGGAAGTGGTGTTTCTAGTGACAGACGAGTGAGTAATGCGTAAGAACCTGCCATTAGGAGGGGAACAACAGCTGGAAACGGTTGCTAATACCTCGTGCTGATTAGCAAAAGAAGGAAGACGTCTGAGGGGGGGCTCGCATTTGATTACCTAGTTGGTGAGCCAATATATATAACCTATTGTTACTAGTTTTATTGTTTAACATTATATGTGATATATGATTTATTAAGTTTACATTTTATCACTTGCCAGTAGCATTTAGAGACCTTTAGACCTTCGTGTAATTTACAAGGATTATTAATTAAAAGAAGAAGAAAATTGTCTACAAATCAGGTTTCATGAGAAACTTGATTAGAGAAATCGGATGTACCATTAATTAAAAAAGAAAAAAGAAAACCATAAACACAGAAGATATTATTGAAATAAGAGAATTCAGATTTAATAATTAATTTGGTGGGATGATTGAATAAATTAATAACCTATTATCAATTAATTAAACCAAAATGTTCAAATTCAAATAGCTAAGATTGCATTATAGATTTCATATATATATTTATAATGACCTGATTATCTTGATTTGGTGTCACCTTATGACCATGTAAAAGAAATGTTTAAGCATATTACAACCACAGAACAATTCTAGGAAATTTGAAACTTTGATCAAGAAATTAAAATTTAACCTTCAAATATCAAGAAGCTTTAATTATTCTCATCTCATGAGTTGCTGTGGGATACATAATGGCACAATGACATGTTCATTACACACATGATCATTTTTCTCTTACAACAAATCAAAGAACACAATGAACAACAAGAATTTGGAGACATTAGAAAATTGAAAACGAAAACAAAACCAAAAATAGGACATAGGACGTTTGCGAATAATGAATAAATTTAATAACCAGTTGGTGCTGACTTACGGCCAAAATCAGTAGGTTTTGGCTTTGAGTCATAGCCATTCTTGTAATTAGGTTTGGTGTCATCTTTATGATATTCTACCAATTTTGATTTGTAGTTATCCACCTTATCGCCATAGCTATTACCTTTCGACTTGAAACCATAGTTATTCCTTCTGGTTTGAAAGCATAATCGTCACCTTGTTGTTTTAATCCATAACTGTTACCTTCTGGCTTGGAAACATAACCATTATCCTTAGGCTTTGGCTTTTCAGCGTATTGTTTGGAGCTGTAACCATTACCTTCTGGCTTGGAATCTTAACCCTTATTCTCCGACTTTGACTTCTCAACGTGCAACTTGAAACCATAACTATTACCTTTTGGCTTTGAACCGTAACTCTTTTCCTTAGGCTTTGACTTCTCCACATATGGTTTGGAGCCATAACCATTACCTTCTGGCTTGGAATCATATCTCATATCTTTTTTCCTCATCCTTTGATTTCTCAACATATAGTTTAGACTCATAACCATTACCTTTTGGCTTTGAATTATAACCCTTATCCTCAGGCTTTGACTTCTCAATGTATGATTTGGAGCCATAGTCATTACCTTCTGGCTTAGAATCGTAACCCTTTTCCTCAGGCTTTAACTTCTCAACATGCTGTTTGAAGTCGTAACCATTAACTTCTGACTTTGAACCATAACTCTTCTCCTCAGGCTTTGACTTCTCAACATGTTGTTTGAAGTCATAGCCATTACCTTCCGGCTTAGAACCGTAACACTTCTCCTTAGGCTTTGACTTCTCAATGTGTTGTTTGAAGTCATAACCATTACCCTCTGCCTTGGAATCATAACCCTTTTTCTCTGGTTTTGACTTCTCAACATATGATTTGTAAAGGAATGATTGAGAATTGTAACCTTGAGACTTTGGTTTGTCACCCTCAGGGTTGGTGCTATAACCATAATCACCAGCAGAGGCAACGATAAGAAATGATAAGAGAAGCAAAGAGGTTGTAAAGAAGATACGACTAAGAGCCATGACTATGAAATATTGTAGGAAAGAAAGAAAAGATGTATTGGTAAATTGCTTCAGAACCAATATGGCCTTTTATAGATCACAGCTATGGTCCCATTTCTCATATTAGTTAATTATCAACTGAATTAAATATACGAGTAAAACAATACGCTGCTGCCCGATTTGAGACTCTTCTCTTTGCCAATAAATTATATGAACGTGATCACCTGAAAAAGCAAGAGGTTTGATTTAGTTGCCGCCCATGAACATATATTTAGCTGTTAGAACTTAGAAATAAATCGATTCTAAAGATTATGTACTATTTATATGTCATGGTGTCTTGAAACATTGATTTCAGAACGTGTTGAAAGTTCTTATTATTTAATAGGATGTCATCATATAATTCAGGAATCAATTTATTATAATTGATCACAATTCAAAATTTCTCATAATATTATTATAGGTGATTTACTAATCTTACACATCTATAGTAAAACCTCTCTATAATAAAAATGGTGGGACTAACTAATTTTTTTTCCTACGAGGAGGTTATAACTTAGTAGAGATTGTAATTACAAAAATTATTGTTTTGATTTCTTAATTTATAATTCATGTTTTAGTAGTACAATATTAAGATTTCATTCATATTTTAGAAGTATTAGAATTTTAATTCAGCGCTTCAATTGCCTATTTTTGAAACGGATAGAAGATCATATTTTGGAACAAGCAAAAATAAGTGTCATTGATGGAATTGTAAATACAATTGATGCATGGCCAATTGATGTAAAGCCACAGACAATTGTCAATAGTTTTAAGCATCGTAAAATTAGTACCACCAATGTCAATGAATTGCAAGTTACAAATAAAATGGATAAGGGGAATAAAAGAGTCATTGCAAAATTGAGTGATCAGATTCGACAACTTCACTATACTAATCGAATGGATATTAATGTATTCCTCGATCATTTAAATGAGTAACAAATCACGGATGTTTTAACCAAAGAAGAAATCATTGTTGTACTTAGACAAGAAGAGAAAGTAAATGATCTTGAAGATGATAGTACGAAAATACAAAAAGCTTCATGCCATGAAACTCTAAATTTTGGCTTCAATAAAAAAGTGTCCATGCTAGCAAGTTATTACGTACTCGTAAGGTAAAAGATGTGGTAACAATTCTAAAGCATAAATCATTGTCCTAAGCAACTTTAAATAAATATTTTATTTCATCTTAAACCTTTAATGTAACATAACACATACACACTGGGACTAGAATTTTTTATGATTATGTATAGTTTATTCCTATATAGAGTATCATTATAGGCAGCTTTTATTATATTTTTTTCTATAGCACCACATAAAATCAGGCTAACCTCTCCTCTTGTGATCGGATAACAAACCATTTAACCATTATGGTTAGTTATACCCAGGGGTCTTGTGTTCGAGTCGTAGGAGAAGTACCTTCCACATTTGTACAATTATCTTGA